AAAACTCTAGAAAGACCAAGAGTTAGTGAGCTAAACCTACACCCAAAAAGCTATGAAAACAACAACAAAGTAAAACCCTTCCCATCAAAAACTGGGTAATAAAGGGAATTCTAAAGATCAGCAGATAAATTAACAAAATAGAAAAGAGAAACAATAGAAAAATCAACAAAACCAAAGGCTTTTAGTTGAAAAATGACTAAGTTAAATAAACCTCTAACAAGGTTAAGAAAAGAATGAAAATGTTTAAATTACACATAAACACCAATGAAAAAATATAGAAGGGCACCTAATTACAAATGCTGTGTAGATTTTTAGAAATCCTAAGAAAATACTATGAACAGCAATACCATGAACAACATTAGTATTTGAACATTTGCATTAAAGTTACAGTATTTTTGAAAAATATAATTTATCAAAACTACCTAAGAGAACACATAAAATTTGAATAGATGTATAATCAGTTAAGATCATGAATCAGTAGTTTAAAGTTTATTCACACACAAGCACACAGGGACACACAAACACAAATGTACCCCCCCCCAAAAAAAAACCCTATCTCAAATGATCCCATGGGTAAATTCTATCAAACAATGAAGGAACAGATGTTCCCAATCTTACTCAAATTGTTTCAGAAAACAGAAATGTCCCCTTTATTTTATGGAAGTGGAATATCTTTGATACCAAACAGGACAGGACAACGTAAGAATCAAAAACCGTAAGTCAATCTCACAAACATAAGCACACATAAAATTTTTGAAAACTATTAGTGAAATAAGTTTAGCAAAATACCAAAAGAACCTTGACTTGATTTCATTCTGGGAAGGCATAATGTTAGAAAATCTATTCATGAAATACACACAATAATAAATTAAATAAGAAAATAAAGGTATAGAAGCAAAAAAAAAAAAAAAGCAAATGACAAAATTAAATTCCCATTTTGGGGAGGGAAAATTCTGAGAAGAACTAAAAATGACTTTTTTAACTAGATAAAGTATAGCTGTCAAAAGAAAATACAATAGTGAAAATTAGTTTCTCCTTTAAAATGAGGAAAACAAGCATATCAGCTATTATACAAGCAGGTAGTGTTAATATTAATCAGTGCATAATACAAGAAAAAGAAATTTTTAAATGTACAAATTATAAAGGAAGAAAAAAGTCATAATTTTCAGATACCATTAATCAACAAAGAAAATTCCAAACTGATAGAACTAATAATAACATTGAGTAAAGTTGCTGGTACACAAATAATACATGAAGTCAATGATGTTCTTACACACAGCAAATACAAAAAAATGCAATTTTAAAAAAGATGCATGTAAAAATCATTCTTAGACTCTGTGAAAATTGTACTCATCACCAGAGAGAATAGTGGGGAGCAAGGAGGGGGTAAGGGAACTGGCAAGGGAGTTTTGATGGAGAGTGAGGGAAGTGTGTACACATATGGACTTGTACCCCATGTACCCCAAACTTTTTAGATATGTAAACAGCTGACAGGTTAATAATTTTTTTTAAACACACAAATGTACCAGGTCTAAAAAATAAAAAACTTAAATGAAAAAAAAAATGCAGGAAACAACAGCAACAAATCTATAAAAACCATAGAAAAACATCTAATAAATGATAAAAGCCTTTATAGACAAAAATATATTCTAAAATTTTAAGAATATATATAAAGAAACTAAATAAATGGAGCAACATGCCATTTTAATATTCGGGATATAAATCTGACTGAGTATAATTGAGACACAAAATAACAGTGGTTTAAACTATTAGTTTTCTTTGTGCATGTGTCTTATTTTCTCCCCAGTTCTAGGCAGTATAATATTTGCCATGTTTCTGGATATTTGCAGAAGTCAGTTTTCCCAAAGACAGCTATAAATTCTCATTTCATTATGAATTTCAATGCATTTTGTGTGGCATAAGGTCATCATGAAATTTATATTAAAGGGTGACAGATCAGGAGTAGCAAGACAATTTTGAAAAAGAGAAAGGAAGGTATTATCTACTAGACATAAAAAATGCATGATGAGACAAGGGATTTGCATAGACATTTCTCCTAAGAAACTATGCAAATGATCAGTGAGCACATGAAATGATGCTCAACATCATTAGCCATTAGGGAAATTAATTCAAAACCACAATGAGATAAGAATTCATACCCATTAGAGTGACTGTAATCAAAAACACAGACAATAAGTGCAGATGAGGATGTAGAGAAATCCTTCCTATGTTACTGGGGGGAATGACAAATGAAACAGCCACTTTGGAAAAGGTTCCTCAGAAAGCTAAATACAGAACCGTCATTTGCTGCAGCCATACCACGCCTAGTCATATACTCAAGAGAAATGAAAACGTATGTCTACACAAAAACACGCACATGACTTCACAGTGTTCATAGTGGCATTATTCATAATAGCCAAAAAAGGGGAAACAATCCAAATGTTTATCAACTAATGAATGAATAAACAAAATGTGATCTATTAATGCAATGCAATATTATTTGAAGTACTGACATATGTTACAACACAGATGAAACTTGAAAAATGGTAAGGAAAGAAGCCAAATACAAAAGACCAGGAATTGTATGAATCCATGTATATGAAGTGTCTAGAATAGGTATATCCTTAAAGACAGAATATAGATTAGTAGTAGCCAGGAAGTAGGGATATTGGGGGGAGGGAGTGACTGCTAATATGCGTAAGGTTTCTTTTGGGGGTGATGAAAAGTGTCCTGGAATTAGTGGTGATGGTAACATAACTTTCAATATACTAAATTGTATACTTTTTAGTAGGGTGAATTTTATGGTATATATATTTCAATTAAATGAGGAACAACTTCTGAGGCTATAGCAATAAAAACAATATGGCATTGGCCCTGGAATAGACATCTTGACCGACAGAACTGAGTATAAAGCATTAAAGGCATCTGCATTCTTAAAAGCCAGACACCTCTTGATAGAGATGACATCACAAGTCAATAAGAAATGCATGAACTAATAAAGGAATGCTGAAAAAAATAAAATTAGATTCCTCCCTCACTTTACCCAAAGTTAACTCTAAATGGATTAAAGATATAAATATGAAACACAAAACTACAAAATCTTTTAATAAAACAAAGGGAAATATCTTTTGTGAATTTGGGGTAGGGAAGGACTTTGTAAGCAACTGAAAGAAAAATAAAGAAAAAGGTAATACACAGTTAATTTAAGACACAAATCAATCATGCTACGATCACTTAAGGATGCAAACATTGCAGTTAAAAGGTGAAGACATTCGTGAGAGTAACATCAAGTTCAAGTCATTGGTCACCTTTGGAAAGCAGGGGGAGGGGAGAAAAAGATGGGGTGGACTGCAGATGCTAAGTATTTTTTTCTTTAGTACACTAGAGCAAATGTGGCAAAACTATAACCATTGTTTAAACTTTGTGATGAATATATAAACGCCTATTATATTATTTCCTTAATCATCTTATTTTTGGAAGTGTTTCATGAGGGAGAAAAAATTTCTTTTACATATTAACCTATGATCCAACCTGGAAAATTGAGGAATTCCCAACTGCATCTTACCACCCTCCCAGGATCAGTACTTTGTGATGAAGACCTGGAATTTTAATCATCTTCCTGAAGTTAGACAGCAATTTTGTGACAGAACTGGGGCTAAAACTCAACTACGCTGCACTACAATTGCCTGTATTTTCTGGAAACAGTGCATGTCTGCCATTCTGGGCAAGCATTCAAGTTATTTCCACTCTAAAGTGTTAGGTGGATTTACTAAACCAACACGAAGTCAGGAGAGAAACTTAAATCACTGTCTTTGCAAATTACTCTTTTCTGCTAGTACTAAGAACTTACTCACCATAAAATCAATGAGAGGAAGGGAGTGAAAATGAAGTGCTCTTGTTACCCTGAAGTGCAGCGAATCACCCCCCAGCCCACCCCGCCGCAGGGCCTTTCTCTGTTTCCTGGCTCACCTTTGTAAACACAGATGTGGCAAAAGCATCTACCTCTGAGGACAGGGCAGAAGGACCTGCAAACGTGGGCAGGGGTGGAGGGTCTTAAGCAAGATGTCTGCCAATAAGCAAGAACAGCCCCTGGGGAATTAGAGGAGTTCCAGGCTCAGCTCCTCTCTTTAGCCACAGAACATGAGGGGGGAGCAGTTCCAGGGCAGAGGTTAAGGGTAAGGAGTGATATCAAGCTGGGTACTAAGAGCACACACAACACCCCTAAAGCAAGGGTTCTTAACCCTAACTACACTTTACCATACTAGGGAACCAAAATGATAAATAAACTGTTGACCAAATCCCAAAGTTTCTCATGCAATTGGTTTGAAGCAGTCACTAGTGCTATTTAAGGTAATACCAATACCAACACACAGCCTCTTTCTAAAGACCAACAGAAATAATTTGGGAAGACTTTTAAGAGAACTGGTTTCCTCAAAGCTGATCATAAATAATGAGATTAGATAAATGCAGGTTATAAACCCCGCTCTGCCCCTTAGTGTGTGACCAGGAGCAAGTTACTCAATTTGTCTCAGCCCATTTTCTCATTTGAACCCTGGGGATTATGAGGGCTTGCCTTCAGTCACGATAGTGAGGTGATAGATGCAACAGCATACCCAACACGTGCCTACCTTCAACTGTCACCTCCATCCAGGAGTGGAGGTCTTTGGTCAAGTACACCCCAGTGGTGATCCAGAACCAGAGAGAAGCCACTCCCACATTTGCGGGGCAAGGTCATCACCCACAGCACCAACCTAGTTCCCTGGATTAAACATTGGTCTTCGACTTGAATGGCAACTCCTTAAGCAGTTAACTCTCCATTCCTCAATGGAATGGTGGTGTAGACTGGATGGTGTGTCCCCCAAAATGCACATGCTGGAACTAACCCCCAATGCCATGATATTAGCAGGTGGGGCCTTTGGGAGGTAATTAGGTCATAAGGGATGAACTGCCATGAACTGGATTAGTGCCCTTGTGAAAAAAACCCCAGCGAGCAATCTTACCTCCTTACGCCATGTGAGAAACAAGAAGACAGGTGTCTATGAAGCAGGAGGCAGGAAGGCAGGATTGCACCAGATGCCAGATGTGCCAGCACCTTATCTTAGACTTCCCAGCCCTGGAAATGGCAAGAAATAAATTTCTGTTATTTATAAATCACCCCTCTGTGGCATTTTTTGATAGCATCCAGAACAGACTAAGACAGATAGGTAACTGTAGAGTCCCTACTTGGTATTTGAAGTGTAATCACAGGTTGTATAAGGCAAAATAATGCCTCCACAAGAAAAAAGATGTCCACATCCTACTCCCCAGAATCTGAGACTATGTTCATTTACATGGTGAAGAGGAATTAAGGTGAGAGATGGAATTAAGGCTGCTAGTCAGCTGACATGAGAAGATTATCCCGGGTTTGGGATGGATAGGCCCAATGTAATCACAAAGACTTTTAGGTGGAAGAGGGGAGCAAAGAGAAAATAACAGGGAAACCATAGCATAAGCAGGACCTGACCCCCTGTGGCTGAAAGAAGCAACAGAGAGAACAAGCCATGAGTAAGTGATGAGGGTGGCCTCAAGAAACTGCAAAAGACAAGGAAACAGATTCTACACTAAAAATTCCAGGAAGAACACAACTGTGCTAACAACTGGACTTTAGCCCATCAGTCAAGCTGTATCAGACTCGTGACCTCCAAAATGATCAGATGATAAATTTGTGACGCTCTAAGCTATAACTTTGCAGTAACTTTTTTTAACTTCCAATTTCACTTGAATTATTTTCTTTTTTGTCTTTCTTTAAATATATAATGCATCACCTTGGTGGATTGTATGTTATCAAAATTCTCCAGGGACTTTGTAGTCCAAAGGGTCACAGCTTGGGGTAATTACCTTAAGTTTGTGGTAGCAGCAACAATAGAAAACTAATGGGCCGAATCCTTATAAAAATCAGATTCTCGAGCCCTTCAAATGGGTGTTCCTGGCTAACTATAACTGGCCAGTGACTCAGGGAGACTGGAGGCCAGGGAGAAAATGGCCTAAACAAAAATCCACGGGTTTTTGTTTTTTTTTTTTTTTTTTTTTTTTTTTTTTTTTACATGTTTTTATTTTTTTTTTATTTTTTTTTAAATATTAAATTTTATTTTTATATTCCCCCATACAATTGCAAACGCCCCATTCTGACCCCAATCCTTCCCCTCCCGCCCCCCACCCCCCAAAAAGTGTCTCTGGTTCATAGTTTTTTGTTGATTTTGATTTTCACTTTCTTATATTCATTTTCCTGGTCCCTTATTTAAGTTTTCTAGATTCCTGCTATGAGTGAGACCATCCGGTATTTTTCTTTTTCTTTTTGGCTTATTTCGCTGAGCATGATCCCTTCCAGCGCCATCCATGTTGCTGCAAATTGCATGTCTTTATCTTTTTTGATTGCTGAGTGATATTCCATGGTGTATATGTACCACATCTTCTTGATCCAGTCATCTATTTTTGGGCATTTGGGCTGTTTCCAAAGCTTAGCTATTGTAAACAGTGCTGCTATAAACATAGGGGTGCAGGTGTTCTTTGGAATTGATGTTTCTGTGTCCTTTGGGTAAATACCTAGGAGTGGAATTGCTGGATCATATGGAAGCTCTATGTTTAGTAGGTCCAGAAATCTCCACACAGCTCTCCATAGTGGTTGGACCAGTTTGCACTCCCACCAACAGTGCACAAGAGTTCCTTTTTCTCCACATCCTCGCCAACATTTGTTGTTGCTAGTTTTTTTAATATGTGCCATTCTCACTGGTGTGAGATGGTATCTCATGGTAGTTTTGATTTGCATTTCCCTGATGACAAGTGATGTTGAACATTTTTTCATATGTCTGTTGGCCATTTGCATTTCCTCTTCAGAGAAGTTTCTTTTTAGCTCTTCTGCCCATTTTTTGACTGGATTATTTTCTTTGTTGTTGCTGAGTCTCATCAGCTCTTTGCAGATTTTTGTGATCAGTCCTTTATCATTAGTGTTGGGTGCAAAAATGTTCTCCCAGTTGGTGGGGTTTCTCTTTGTTTTTGTTATTGTCTCTTTTGCTGTGCAGAAGCTCTTTAATTTGATGTAGTCCCAGCTGTTTATCTTTGCCTTCACTCTCACTGCTTTGGGTGATGTGTCTGTAAAGATGTCTTTGATGTGCAAATCCCGTAGTGTTTCGCCTATATTTCCTTCTATGTATTTTATGGTTTCAGGTCTTATGTCTAGTTCTTTAATCCATTTTGAGTTGATTTTTGTGTATGGTGTGAGGTAGTGGTCAAGCTTCATTCTTTTGCATGTAGCGACCCAGTTTTCCCAGCACCATTTATTGAACAAACTTTCTTTGCTCCAATGCATAGTCTTTGCTCCTTTGTCAAAGATTAGTTGACCATAAATCTGTGGGTTTATTTCTGGATTTTCTATTCGATTCCATTGGTCTGTATGTCTGTTCTTGTTCCAATACCATGCAGTTTTGATGATTATGGCTTTGTAGTATAGTTTGAAGTCTGGGAGTGTGATGCCTCCATTTCCTTCTTTTTTTTTCAGTAGAGCTTTGGCTATTCGGGGTTTTTGGTGATTCCATATGAATTTCATCAATAATTGTTCTATTTCTTTGAAGAATGCCATTGAGATTTTGATTGGAATAGCATTGAATCTGTATATTGCTTTTGGTAGGGTGGCCATTTTAATAATGTTTATTCTTCCAATCCATGAGCAGGGGATGTCTTTCCATTTCTTTGTGTCTTCTTCTATTTCTTTTAACAGTGTTTTATAGTTTTCTTTGTATAGGTCCTTTACCTCTTTTGTTAGATTTATTCCCAAATATTTGATTTTTTTTGTTTCGATAATAAAAGGGGTGGTTTTTTTGATTTCTTCTTCTTCAGATTTATTGTTTGTGTATAGGAAGGCTACTGACTTTTGCGTGTTGATTTTGTATCCTGCCACTTTACTGAATTGATTGATGAGTTGAATTAGTTTTTCTGTGGAGATTTTGGGGTTCTCTATGTATATTATCATATCATCTGCAAATAGTGATAGTTTGACTTCTTCTTTTCCTATTTGGATTCCTTGGATGTCTTTCTCTTGTCTTATTGCTCTGGCTAGGACTTCCAGTATTTATTGAAAAGCAGTGGTGAGAGTGGACATCCTTGTCTTGTTCCAGATCTTAATGGAATTGCTTTCAGCTTTTCACCATTGAGAATGATACTGGCTGTTGGCTTGTCATAGATGGCCTTTATGATGTTGAGGTATGTTCCTTGTATCCCAAGAATTTCAAGGGCTTTTATCATGAATGGGTGTTGCACTTTGTCGAAAGCTTTCTCAGCATCTATTGATATTATCATATGGTTTTTATATTTCTTTTTGTTGATGTGTTGGATAACATTGATTGATTTTCGGATGTTAAACCATCCTTGTGCCCCTGGAATGAATCCAACTTGGTCGTGGTGAATTATCTTATGGATACATTGTTGGATTCTGATAGCTAAAATTTTATTGAGGATTTTTGCATCAGTGTTCATTAGGGAGATTGGCCTATAGTTTTCCTTTTTTGTGTTGTCCTTATTCGGTTTTGGTATTAGTGTAATATTGGCTTCATAGAACGTGTTTGGTATTGTCCCTTCCTTCTCAATTTTTTGGAAGAGTTTGTGAAGGATAGGCACTAATTCGTCTCTGAATGTTTGGTAGAATTCATTTGTAAATCCATCAGGTCCTGGGCTTTTGTTTTTGGGGAGGTTTTTAATTACCATTTCAATTTCGCTGCTTGTAATTGGTCTGTTTAGGTGTTCTATTTCTTCTTTATCTAGCTTTGGGTGATTGTAGAGTTGTAGGAATTTGTCCATCTCCTCTAGATTGTTGAACTTGTTTCCATATAACTGTTCATAGTAGTTACTGATTATTCTTTTGATTTCTGCTGTGTCCGTTGTGATTTCTCCTCTTTCATTTATGATTCTGTGTATTTGTGCTTTCTCCCTTTTTTCCTTTGTGAGCCTGGCTAGGGGTTTGTCTATTTTATTTATTTTTCAAAGAACCAGCTCTTGGTTTCATTGATCTTTTGGATTGTTTTTTTTAGTTTCGATTTCATTTATTTCTGCTTTGGTTTTTATTATTTCTTTTCTTCTACTGGTTTTGGGGTTTTTTTGTTGTTCTTTTTCTAGATCTTTGAGCTTCGAGATTAGGTTGTTTCTTTGAGTTCTTTCTTGTTTTTTGATGTGAGCTTCTATTGCTATATATTTTCCTCTTATTACTGCTTTTGCTGCATCCCATACATTTAGGATATTGGTGTCCTCCTTGTCATTCAATTCAAAGAATTTTTTAATTTCTTCTTTAATCTCCTCGTTAGTCCAGTGGTCTTCCAGTAGTGTGGCTTTTAATCTCCATGAGGTAGGATAGTTCCTTGCCTTCTTTTTATGATTTATTTCTAGTTTGATGCCTTCGTGGTCAGAAAAGATGGTTGGTATGATTTCAATCTTGGTGTATCTGTTGATGTTTGTCTTGTGCCCCAGTATGTGATCGATCCTGGAGAATGATCCGTGTGCGCTTGAGAAAAATGTGTACTCCGTTTTTTTTGGGTTTAGTGTTCTATAGATGTCTGTTAAGCCCAAATGCTCTAGGTCCTTATTTAGAGCTTTAGTTTCTTTACTTATTTTTTGTCTTGTTGATCTATCCATTGTTGATAGTGGTGTGTTGAAGTCTCCCACTACATATGTGTTTTCTCTGATGTCTGTTTTCAGAGAGGACAACAGTTGTCTGATATATTTTGGTGCTCTTTCGTTTGGTGAGTATATGTTAATGAGTGTTATTTCTTCTTGAAGTATTGTCCCCTTAATCATAATGTAGTGACCATTGGGGTCTCTTTTTATTTTTTTGAGTTTGAAGTCTGTTTTATCTGATATAAGTATAGCTGTTCCTGCTTTCTTTTTTGGCCCATTTGCTTGTAGGATTGTTTTCCATCCTTTGACTTTGAGCCTATTTTTATCTTTTGTAGCTAAATGTGTTTCCTGGAGACAGCAAAAGGTTGGGTTTTGTTTCTTAATCCAGGCTGCAACTCTGTGTCTTTTTATTGAAGAGTTTAGTCCATTTACATTTAGAGTTAATATTGCTATGTTAGCATCTGTATTTGCCAT